GCCGGCCGCGGGACAGCGGGGACGCTCTGCGCCGTCCCCACGGCCGCCGCGCGGTGCTGGGGGGACGCTGCCTCCTGCCTGGCCCTGGGGGGTGTCCAGCGGCTCCCGCTGCATCCCGGCCTCCTGGAGCATCCGCGGGCGCCGGGACGTGCCCRGCCGCAGCCGCGGCGCCGAGGGCGCTGCCGACGGCTCCGCGGGACAGCGCCAGCCCCGCCGTGGGGCTCCACGGGAAAGAACAGGGCTGTGGCCTCCTCCCCGTGCGGGGACTCGGGTTTAATCCTGTTCAGTAAGGCTGGTCCAGTTCCCCTGGCGCCATGGGCGGGCCGTGGCGCTACTCGGTGCCGTTGGTGAACTGGCACAGTTTGTTCTCCAGGTCGGCGATGCGCTTCTCGTGCGCCTGCACGGTCTCCTTGAGGGCGCGGATCTCCTCCAGCACCTCCTGCAGCGCGGGCTGCTGCGGGGACACGCGGGGCGTCACCGCGGTGCCCTCCAGCCCCCAGCACCAGCCAGACCTGGTGGGACATCCCCACCCCGTGGCGTGCTGCATGGAGAGAACATCTCCACCTTATGTCCTCCTGGATTGGGAGGACATCTCCACCCCATGGCCTCCTAGATGGAAAGGACATCTCCACCCCATGGTCTCCTGCATGGAGAGGACATCCCGTGCCCCCTGTCCCCATGGTGCTGGCGGGGTGGTGGCACTCACAGAGAGGCCGGAGTCGCTGGAGGACTGGCTGCGCCGCGGCCCCGGGGGCGGCCGGTTGTCCAGGATGTTCTTCTTGACCACCTTGAGCTCGCGGTTCTTGAGGGGCACGTAGCCGTCCCGCAGCGAGATGAGGATGGGCTCCGCGTCCTTGCCCGCCAGCCACTCGTCCGCCTCGAGGGCCGGCTCGGGGCCCGGCGTGTCAGGGTACAGGTCGTCCTGGAAGAGGTCCGACTGCGCCCCGCGCGCAACGTCACCGCGCGGCACGGGCACAGCTCCCCGGGGCACCCATGGGCAGAGCGAGGTCTGACTGCGGGGACGAGGGCAGGGCGCCGTGAGCGCGGCTCCCGCGCCGCGCCGCGCGGCCGCCCCGCGCCTCACCTTGCGCGGCACCGTCATGACGATGGGCTCGCACTTGCGCTCGTGCAGCTTGAAAAACCTGCGGGGGGAGAAAGCGGTGAGGAGGCGGCCGGCGCCGCGAGCAGCGCCCGCCGGGGCGCCCCGAGCCCCTCACCTGGCGATCTCGCACTTGCTGACGTCCAGCCCGCGCTTGGGCATGAAGCCCATGCCGCGCTGCGGCTCCTTGCTGCTGTACGTGCTCAGGTAGTGCACGTAGGGCGCCTCGTCCGTGATCTCGAAGTAGCGGATGCTGCTGTCGCCCTGCGGGGACGGGGGTGGCGGTGGGCACGGGGCGGGCGTGCGGCACAGGCGGCGGGTGCCCATTATGGCCTCACCTTCCCGCACAGGTACACGATGCTCGAGTCRGCGTCGTAGAAGGGCAGCAGCACCCCGTTGCTCGTGTCCATCTCCTGCAGCGCGATGGGCTCCTCGAAGTTGTTCTGGGGGGGCGCGGGAGGCCACGTTAGGTGCCACACGCCGGGGGCTCCTCTCCCGCACGCRCCGTGTCCCCCTTGTCCCCAGGGCTGCGCACGCCCTCCCGCACCACACACAGCACGGCACACGTGGGAATTGGTGCCCAGCCCGGGGACGTCACCCAGACACAGGGACGGGGCAGAGGGACAGGGACGGAGGGAGCGCGGGCGCCGCGTTCCCGGGAGGAGCACTCCATGCGGGCGCGTTACCGGGTCCCACAAGCCCAGCTCCCGCTGGCTCATCCTGGTAAAGCCCGTGGTAAAGATGTGTCCTTGGCGCGTGAAGATGGCGCGCACGGGCCGCAGGCCTTCGTGGGGCGCGAACCGCTCCTGGCGGGCGGAGTGGGGAGAGAGCGTCAGCGCGGGGCGCCGGGGCCGGGGGGTCCGCTGCGTCCCCCAAAATGCTCATGGGGTCCCACGTGCGGGGATGGACGTGGCCGCGCGAGGGAGCTGCGGGGGGAGCTGCTGTCGTTGCCGTGGGGCCCAGGCGTCCGGGCGGCGCTGCTGCCCGTACCAGGTCCCAGAGGCCGAGCTGGCGCTCGCTCATCCTGCTGAAGCCCGTGGTGAAGATCTTGCCCTCGGCCACGAAGATGGCGCGGATGGGGCGGGCGCCGTCGTGCGGCCGCGCTTTCTCCTGCCGCCGGCGGGGAGGGTTAGAGCCAAACACAGACACGCGGGGCGGGCGGTTAGTGCGGGCAGGGGGGCGGCACAGGAGAGCCCTCCCCAAAGCGCAGCGGGACGCGCCGGGGCCGGGACAGGCAGGACAGCGCCGGAGCCGCAAGGACAGCGGGGGCAATGGCCCCCGTGGCGGGGGGGACACTCACCGCCACGACCTGCCGCTTGCGGGGGTCGATGACGCGCACGCGCTTGTCCTTGCAGGTGGTGACGAGCAGGCTGCCGTTGCGGTTCCAGCCCACGTTGTAGATGAGGTCGGCGTGCATGTCGGCCAGCGCCAGCAGCATCTCGCCCGTGCCCACGTTCCACAGGATCACCAGGTTGTCGCTGCCTGCCCGGGGACGCAGGGATGGGGCCGTCGCTCCGGGTCGTGCCCAGCCCCGCGCCCCGGGCGCCGCCGGCCTCACCTGCGCTAAGCAGGACGTTGCGGGCCGTGGGGTGCCAGGCGATGATGCCCACGCGCTTGGAGTGCCCTTCCAGCGTCACCACGGGCTCCGTGAGGTTGCGCACGGGCACGTAGTCGGGGATCTGCCACACCTGGGGGCATGCGGGCGGTCAAGATGCCCCCRAAGCCGAATCCCCGGGGTGCCACCCTGGGACCCCCGGCCCGTCCATCCCGGAGCAGGAGGCAGCGCCTGCCCCGCCGGCGGGGAGAGCCCATCCCGGCCCCTGGGCCACCGCGGCCGCTATTCCGGGTGCTGAGTCGCCAGGATGGGTATATTTAGCACAAAGTGCTGCATCATGGAGCGAGCAGCAGCCGCCAGCGCAAACGCAAGGCCCCGGCACTAAAAATAGCCGGGTGACACTTGGCGGGCGGCGGAGGGCGACGTGCGGCCCCCGACCCGGCAGGCGGGMGCCCCGCTCACCATCACCGTGGTGTCCTCGGAGGCGCTGGCGATGACGTTGTCGTTGTGGGGACACCAGTCGATGTCGAGCACCGGCGCCGTGTGCCCGGTCACCAAGGGGTGGTTCTTGTCCACACGGCCGGTCTGTGGTGTTGGGGAGGGGGGACACGACACTGCGCTCAGGCCACCACATCTCTGGGGACCCTGCAGAAACCTGTCCCGCAGGGAGCTCCCGCATGGGGACAAGGGCTGCTCCGAGCAGCATCCCCGCTCCCTGTGTCCCCGCGGGCCAGCCCTGGCGCGGCGCCGCTCACCTTGGCCAGCGGCAGGACGATGAAGGCGCCGCCGCCGCCCGCCTCCACGATGATGGCCACGAACTTGGGGTTGACGGCGCAGAAGGAGCTGTCCCACGTCACCTTGGAGACGCGGATGTCCTCGTACATCTGGTCGGCCTTCACGGGCTGGCCGAACACGTGCCGGAACTTGCTCTGCCGCACCACGCGGCGGCTCATGGCTGGGGGCCGCGGGTCAGCGCCCGCCCGCGGGGGTCCCGGCGCATCCCCCCGCCCGGCGACGCGGCGCCCGGCACCTGCGACGGCCCGTCCGGAGCCGGCCCCGCTGGTGGCACCCGGGGTGCCCAGCTCCCGCCCGGAGCCCGGGGCTGGCGCCTGGCTGGCGAGGGGAAGCCACGAAACCGGACACTGCCACCTGCGTCCCCTGCGTCCCCGCGCAGCGGCACGAACCCCGCGGGGACGTCAACAGCCTCCCCAGGCTGCCCTGCAGCCCCGCGGGGCTGGGGGGACCCCAGCCGGGTCTGGGGCGCACGGGATGCAGAGCTGCCCCCCGTGCAGGAGCCGGGTCACCTGGGGATGGGGCAGGAGCGGTGCTGAGCCCTGCGGTGCCCACACTGTCCCCACGGCATCGCACCTGGCCTGACCGCCGGGCACGGGGTCTCGGTTCAGCCCCGGTACCCTGCTGCCTGCTGGCGTGCAGGCTCATGAGGGTCCCCGTGCCCAGTGCAGAGCAGGACGTGCCACCCGGTCACCCCAGTGCTGTGGATSTCCGCACCATGCATGGAGCACCTGGGCAAGGGGGGCGCACACCCACACACCCTTTGGAGCCGTCACGGTGCCAGGACAGGCACCTCCRGGGCCAGGGAAGGAGCCGGGCGCTCAGGGGGTGTCCTGCTGCGCCTCATCCCGCAGCACCAGGAGCACATCTTGGGTGCAGCCAGGCCGGTGAGAGGCCGGGGGCCTGCGTGGGGTGTGGGTGGGTGCAGGTACAGCTGGGCAGGGTGCAGTGGGGGTGCACACAGGCGTGGATGAGGTGCAGATGGGTGCAGGCAGGGTTGCCTGGGGTAAAGCAGAGCAGGTCAAGGTGCAAGTAGGGTGCAATGGGTCATGAGCAGGGCCAGACAGGGTGTCAGCAGGCAGGGAGATGTGGGTGCAGAGGGGTGCAAGCAGCGCCAGGCAGAGTGTAGCAAGGGTGCAGACACGGTGCATGGGTGCAAGAACAGAGCCAACAGGGTGCAGGTGGGGGGCAGGCACGTGCTGCAGGAGGTGCAGGGGGTGTGTGAAGGGCTGCACCCCACGCTGGGTGCAGGAAGGTGCAAGCAGGGCTGGGCAGAGCGCAGCGTGGGTGAGAGCAGAGCCAGACTGGGTGCAAGCAGGGTGCAGAGGGAGGTGCAAGCGAGGGCTGGAGGAGGCGCAAGGCGGCTGCGAGCGGCCGGGCGGGTGCAGGGGCTGCGGGCGAGGCCGGGGGTACCCGCGGGGTGCGGGGGCACGAGCGGAGCCCCGCGGGGTGCACATGGGGCAGCGCTGCTGCCGCCCCGGGCCCTGCCATTACGTGGCCACAATTGAATCCGCAGCGGCTGCTCCGGGAACGAGCAGAGGTCACTTTCCAAATATAGCCGTGCCCGGCGGCCGGCGGCGGGCGAGGGGCCGGGGGCCCGCGAGCC